AATATTTTATTTGAGGACATCTTTTGCATGACTTTGATTCTTCTGTTTATTGAGATTTGTTTTTTGACTTAGAATATAGTTTATGTTCATGGTTAGAACACAAAATAAACATTATATTTAGTCTGCTTCTTCTGCTTGGAAATGGTGGCTTGATTATTGCTGTCTGCACATGCAGACAGACAGACAGACAGCCTCACTGTATGGGACCTTGTTACATGGTTTCCTTGCCTGCCTCGCCTCACTTAGCTTAGGGTCAGCTCCACTTCTCAGTTCATTAACTAAGGCAGGTGAAAGTGCCTTACATGCAGGGGGTGGATGTCCGGCAAGACTGACTCGGTCCTCATCTGCTGCTCATCACCGAAGTATCCTTTGTTCTCCACTCCCCGAGTATCTCCAGGTGGGCTGTCAGGAGGGAAATTGAACATTGGCACAGCCATGGGATAAGACTGCTGTAAATATTAAATCATCTAGAAAAAAAAATTTAAATGCTATGCTCGGATTGCCCTGTAAAACAATTAAATCACAATATATTGGGAAGGAATCAACATCAGTAATTTTCCCAAGACTCCTAGATGATTTCAGTGTGCAGCAAAGCTTGGGGACCACTGGGATAAACATATGGACATGAGATAGCATGTAAAAGTTTCATTTCCTACTAATCTTAAATGTTTTCAGTAAGAGACAGTTTCCTCCACTGAGTATCTCATGAGACCACAAGGCTTATGTATTCTTGTTAACGGTCCCTTTCTCACAAAAATTGTAGACGTACCTCTGAACTTGCTTCGACTTAATACATTTTTGGTAACGAATAAATAACATGACAATTCCAGCACCAATAATCACCAGGACAAGCACAATGACCATGATCGTGATATCTGCAATGTCAAGAAACATGGGTTTTGATCAGGGCGTTGACCTTAGGGCGAGGAAGTATTAACATTTAATGGAGCAGTTAGAAACCCAACTTCTTCCTTCCTGAGGTACTTTATAATTCCCCTTCCCCCAGGTACTTATACAGAATAAGAAGCCAAAACATTACACAAATAATCATCTGTATTGCCAATTGACACTAACCTAAGATTTCACTACATTTAAGAGAACCACAATGGTAAGAAGAGTTTTGGTCTTTAGTTATTAATTGACCATAGAAAAGGCTTTGTTGTGTTGGGGTTTTCAGAAGAACTGAGTCAGATTAGCTAGAAGAGGACTTATTAATTCTAAAGGGTGACTGTAATAAATTCCATTTGGGTTCCCAAGCATACAAATTAAAAAAAATATACAAATCCAGTAGAAGATAATAAATATATAGCAAATATGGAAAATAAGGAAACGGCTTTTTCACCATGCAGCTTTTGGTCTATGTAAGAGATTATATTCTAGGATGCTCACTGGTAATGTTTAAGGTTTCTTCCCAGTCGGTGAGAATCTGTCCTTCCTCACACTGGCACTCAAGTTCATTGCTATCCACCTGGAAAATCACAATTTTACCAAATGACTGGCATAAGTTATGTTTTGAACCTCATTTTGGTTCATACTAATTCTGCACCAAACACACTCATGCACACACACTTATTGATCTATGAATTAAACTGAATACCAAAATCAGTGTTGCACAAAAGTAAGCAAATATAATACAACTAGCAAACACCTTTGTAGAACATCTTTGCACAAAAGAATTATATCAACATATTCAGACATGTGAACAGGACAGCATGCCATGTCTTTCCAGAAAGCATTCATATCTTTAAAAAATAGTCTCTGCTAGAGCAGATACTAAAACTTAGAAATAATGAGATCATACTGACATGGGGAAAAAGTGGTAGCAGAAGGTTAAGGCCATTAAAGAGCACCAGGTAATGGTAAAAGAGACCCAGGAGTCATACATTCGGAGTTAAATCTAGGCTTTTCATCTTTCCCTAAAACACATCAGTGTGCCTAGTTCCACTTATAACAAAGGGCATAGGAACACTACTCATCTCCTAAGTTTATTTAAATGTTATTAAACATTTAAGTGGATATACATGTGTATACACATACACACACACCTAACACACCAAGAGGAGCAACTCTAGTCATATGGCAGAGCATGTTCAGCCTGGTCAGAGAATACCTGGTCACTGCTTACCAAGTGGCTGCATGACAGTTCATATATGTGTGTGTGTGTGTGTGTGTGTGTGTGTGTGTGTGTATCTCCACATAAAATATACAGTACTTCAAAGTATGGGATGCATATTCAAATAAATGTTAATAAGTGATTTAATTAACTGGGTTTAGGAAAGCAGTGTCACATAACATGCTAGAATTAAACAGAGTTGAATTTTAAAATAATTTTTGGCTGTTTTTCTCAAAAGCTTTAGGTTAATCCTGAAAATGGAGTCATTTAATTATGTGACATTGTGATAGGTCAGATTTTAAACCTCAGGTTTAAACTTCATATGTATATAAGTTACTGGATTTCTAGATTACCCATCTGATAATAATGCATTTACTCATAATACTAGCAATATCTGTATGTAATAATACCTGGTTTGGCTCTTTGTATTAATTATAATCCATTAAAAAAAGGGATCCCAAATATGTATTTGATTAAAAAAAATAGCACACTCACACACAAGCTCAAGAACAAGGCTTATGTAAATAACTGGCTGATAAGACATTAGCTTAAGAAACAATCTGCTCTTACCGAATTTTCTTCGCATTGAGAGGGGCAGTTGGTTGAATTGTAGGCCTTTTCAGTGTTCACACATTCTCCGTTGCTGCATACCTGGACGTGAAGTAGCAAACACAAATCAGAATGACTTATAATATATGCGACATTGGAACCTCCCATGATCTCATGGGAGATTATACATCCCACTATTTGTGATTTGGTTACAATTGGTATGATTGTCTTCTGTTGTGAAATTTCACATGTAGAATCTTTGGTGGATGGAACAATTCTGTATCAATGATTGATGAAAGCATTAGAGATGCAAGTATTGTTATATATAAGCTCATTAATTATTAAAATGTTTACATCCTTATTCCTTGAATGTTAATTTGCCAAAAAATACCACAACTATACTTACAATGATTTCTTATATTTCCATTGAGTTTCTTCTGATTTCTTCTGTAAGGATCTAAACTTGTTAAACCATGTTTATTGGTGGGGCATTTTATCAGTCTCAGTTAATCTTATGTTGAATAGTTTGAATAAATTGAGATTCTAGATTTCTAAAAATAATTATATGGACTGCATATTTTAACTCATACTAAATATGTTAAGTATAAATAACTAGGATTTTCTCAATTGAATAGGCTTTTTTGCTTGTAACTATTTTTTAAATATCCTATTTCTCTATTTTTAACTTTTTAATTTAAATTTATTTCCCAGCTTGCTAAAATGGTTTCCTTTTTTTCCCCTCAGAAACATCAGTGATGTCTGTATGTTGTCTATGTTTTCTTACTCATGATGGTGCCTCTCCTGCTGCTAGGAATGCAGTCCCGCAGCCTCTTGGTTGGCCACTTGGTATTCTCTAACCACACTGCACAGTTCTTGCCATATGACCCCACAGTTGCTCTCCTTGGTGTTTACCCTGGAGACAGACGTGAAGGCCTGCACCACGCAGAGGTCTGTGCACGGACACTCACAGCAGCTTTGTTCCTAAGGGCCCAGACCTGGGGAGAGCCAGGGTGTTCTTGAGCAGGGGTCAATGAGTAGACTGTGGGACTTCCAAACAGAGGTGTGTTATGTGGGCCTGGCAAGCTAAGGGACAAGACAGGACCACGAGAGGACACGGAGGAAACTTGACTGATTATTACTAAGTGGGAGAAGGGGCTACATACTGCATGATACCAGCTGTGTGGCATTACGGAAAGACAAAACCGTGGGAACAAGAAAAGAGATCCGGGGTTTCCAGATGCAGGGAGACAGGGAGTTGTGAACAGGCAGAGCACGGGGGATTTAATGTCGTCACTAATTCACTGAAATCCATAGAATGTACAGCATTTTCACCTTCGTTAGAGTGAACTCTAGTAAGGATACGGGGTGATAATTATGTGTTTATCTGGATTTCTCACTTGTAACAAATGTACCTCTCTGGTGGGAGAAGGGCAATCTCTGGACCCTTTGCTTATTTCGACTATTAGCATAAAACTTCTATAAAAGGAAACTATTAACATTTAGCTTTTTAAGAACTTCTTTTCAATATATAGCTCTTTCACAGTGGGGGGTGGTGAGGGGGGCAGCTATCATCTATCATCTCTGCCTTCTCAGATGGGCTTCCTCTGTCCAAGCTTTGGAATTCTTCTGTGTCTCCCGCCACTTCTTCTCGTGGCCTGTCTGTCTACCTGCATGATATAGCCTGGGGACCGAGTGCTTAAAACACAGGCAGAGCTTTCTTAAGTACTTCAAGCCCAACTGAAGATACTGAGATCTGTGCCGTTTTGATTTTGTCCTTTCTGTGGGTCTAATACGGAGACGACTCTGAAGACAGTTTTGCCTTAGCTCATCTGTGCCAGAGAATGGACTACTTAAGTTCCTCCTTCTTTTTTTCTCTCTCTTCCCTCTTTTCTTTTTGTTTCCTTTTCTATGCTCCTGGTACTGTCCTGTAATGAAGAAAAAGACCCTGGGAACATTCCGTGTTTTCCCATCTTCCTGCACCAAATTAAAATTTGCCAGTAAAAATAAATACAAAGAGAATGCAAAGGTTTTTTTCTGCATTTGAAGTTCACTGGGCTTAAAAGCTGTATTCCAGTGTTGGGGGGGGGCGGGAATAATAGGAAAAGCTCTTTGATGTCACTGGGATGTCACCATAGACTGGCATTTGCTAGGCCATGAATCTGCCATGGTGAGCTGGTGAAGAACTATCAAGAGCGGGACTGGTGATTTGTCCTCACCTTCTCCTGAAGGGACAGGACTCTGGTGGCATGGACACAGTGCACTTGCAGGATTGAGTGTCCCTATGTCAGTCCCTGCTGCCCTTGGTAAAAGGATGCCAGATATTGGTTTCACACCTCAGCGGATTTTGCACATTTGAAGTGAACTGAAAATTGGCATTTTCTTTGACTTGATGCTTCTTATGCACTTTATCTCATTGACTTTCTTAACTTTTCTGGTTTTGGGGTTTGATACACCTACCTTAATTTTCACCATTTTGATATTTATTGAATTGCTTTAGCAGGAAACAGGTCAGCTAAAACACGTGGACTGGGTCAGTCACCATTAAATCATTGCATTTTTGTGCTCTCTTTCTTTCCATCTTGAATTTTTGCTGTCCAATTTTTATTTCTCCTTTACCTTTTGCAAATGCCACTGTAGCATTTGTGGGCAATGGTGTCAAGGGGGACAGGAAGCAGGCCCTGGAGAGAAACTATTTAATTTCAAATAGCTGATTTTTTTTTTTTTTATAAAAAAGTATTCTGTGCTTTCCACATATTCTGGATGAGCTGGCTGTTGTTTACAGCACAGATTCTAGCATTTTCACCATGGTATGATAAACTCTTTCCGATTTGGCCTCATTTTATTTGTTCAGCTGTTTCTTTGGCCATTGTACCCGAAGCTCAAGCCACGTTGAAATGATCAATTATCTGAATATGCTGTGCACCTTCACCTTTGCATATTATGTGGGCATTTCTTCCTAAAGACTTTTCTGCATTCCCATGTTTATTACAGAATTATTTATAATAGTCAAGGGCTGTGGCAGGCCTCAAGTGGCTGTAGTTAGGCTCCCTCACCAAGACTTCCAGTGGGCTATGTTATGTTTTTTTGTGTGTAGCCAGGGCTGAGAACCAGCCATGTTATGTTTAGTTGAGGCCAGAAACATTGATTCAGTGTGTAGACTCAAGGTCATGAACATTATTAACCTGAGAGCATGCAGCCCCTTATGTAACCTGTTGGCAGTGTGCCTTCTTCATTTGGCCTGCAGAGAAAAGAGGCCATCAGGAAAGACTCCAGGGTCAATGGGATAATGGGACTAAAATGGAACTGGCTGGGGGCTGAAGGTGAGGCTGGAGGCTGGAGGCTGTGGCTACCAACGAATAAAGCATATCTACTATCCTAACTATGTCTTGCATCTTCTTGCACTTGCCATACCATGAATCTCTTTTCTGGGTCAGAGCCCACGCATGACACCAAGATATGGACTCAAGCTACGTGTCCATCAACAGATAAATGGATAAAAAAATGTTTTATGTATACACCAATGGAATATTACTTGGCCATAAGAAAGAATGAAATCCTGTCATCTATGTCAGCACAGATAAACTGGGAGATATTATATTAAATGAAACAAACCAGGTAGAGAAAGAGATTAAATTCTGCATGATCTCATTCCTATGTGGAAGACAAAAAATGTTGATCTCATGTTAAAAATGTTACTTATGAAAGTAACAAGGAGAATTGTGGTCACCATAGGCTGGGGAGGGAGGGAAGAGGAAGGGGACAGGAAGAGTTTGGCTGATGGGTACAAGTTTACAGTTAGGAGTAATAAGCTCTTGTGTTCTATGGTACAGTATGGTGACTACAGTTCACAGCAATTTACTGTATATTTCAAAACAGAACAAAGATTTTGGATGTCTCTAACACAAAGAAATCACATTTGAAGTGACAGATAACAAGCTACTGAGTTTTGATCATCGCATGTTGCACCCATGTATCAAAATGTGATGTTGCATCCAACAGACATGTACAATTATTAAGTATCAATTCAAAATAATGTCAAAGGTGAAAAGTTAAATAATAAATACATAATAAATAAATAAAATGTCCCATTTTCTCTGAGTTAAAAAATGTTCATCCCAACCTATTCAACACATGAATGGATAAAGAAAATGTGAGATATATATGTATATATATATATATATATATATATAAAATTAAATAGTACTCAGCCATAAAGAAGAATGAAATTATGGCATTTGCTGGTCAATGGATGGAACTGGAGACTCTCATGCTAAGTGAAATGAGCCAACATCCCCCCAAATCAAAGGCTAATGCTAACATACAAATAAGGTTGGGGGAAGGAAGAATAGAAGTTCATTGGATTAGACAAAGGGAAATGAAGGGAATGGAGGGAGGATGGGAATAGGAAAGACATTAGCATGAACTGGACATCACTTTCCTATGTTCATATATGAATATACCACCAGTCAAACTCCACATCATGTACAACCACAAGAATGGGAAATTATACTCCATATATGTATAATATGTCAAAATACATTCTACTCTCATATATAACTAAAAAGAATAAATTTAAAAAATTCTTTTAAATGTTCATCAAGCCAAAGCTGAAATTCAAGATGCCACATGTGTTCTATGAGCAACCAGCTACTTCTTTTTAGATCCAAGTACATACTGCTGATCCCAATACTAGGAAAGCACTTTTGTTAAATCGAAATGATCTGTTTAAGTGAATGTATAAAATTTTCAAATACACACATCTTTAAACCATCTGTGCCCAGCATAGTTACTGACAACCTAGGCTTCACCAGTAAGCGTGGTTGGACAGATCAAGTAAATGAATGTATGCCTATTTATGGTTACATTAATTAGAAAAATCTTATGTCTAACTTCATTAGATGTCTGCTGAAATATACTAATTAAGCATATTTATAACAATGTCATACCATTTAGTATAACTAAAATTAAATAAAAGAGTATTACTGTATTATTGCTATTCTGTTCCTCAATAATAAAGACAAATTGCCTGCTTTCCCATATATAAGGCTCTTCGGAACCAATTACAGGTCCCAGTGATGCTTTTGAGCAGTTAATCAAAGATGCTTTCATAAACAAAGGGTTTTAATCTTACCATTCCTTCTCCACATTTTGTTCCTGTATTCACCAGGCCAATATCCTCAGAATTGTGGTATAGAAAGATGGTTTTACATTTGACAGTAATGTTCTGCTTTGCAGCCTTAATGTGATAGATCTTGTCTTCTCCAAGAAGAGATGACTTCTGTCCCCCGGTACAGTATATCTTCCCACATCTGACATCTCTGAAGAGAAGGGGTGGGGGGTTATTCTCAAACTTGGGAGCAAAAACAGAGCTTCAGAGATTAGGCTGTCAGCCAAGTGGCCCGGTCACTGTAGGCACACCAGCAGGGCAGAGGGACCAAGACAGGCTGAGAAAACCATTAGACAGCTAAGCCCTGACCCTGGGAACTGAAATGAGTAGAAACAGTGTCAAAAAGCATTTTTAATATTCCTCTGTGATCCTCAGAAATCAGCACTCATTCAAGTTTACAGAAGACTATTCCTTAGTAGTGATTTGAATTAGCATGACTCTAAGGAGCAGAAAGAGGTTTCCTTCTTATTCTTTCTTGCATTGAACACATCAGCCATGAGACTGCAAGGGAGGGGAAGGGAAAGGGGGCAGGTCTGTCCACATAAAAGTAAAATTACAGGGCTGGGGATGTGGCTCAAGTGGTAGCGCGCTCGCCTGGCATGCGTGCGGCCCGGGTTCGATCCTCAGCACCACATACAAACAAAGATATTGTGTCTGCCGAGAACTAAAAAATAAATATTGAAAATTCTCATTCTCTCTCTCTCTCTCTCTCTCTCTCTCCTCTCTCACTCTCTCTATAAAAAAAAGTAAAATTACAAAGGCATGACTATTGGTGAATCCTAAAACCTTAGTTTCTAATGCAACTGTGCTTTCAGTATCATGTCTTATAGTGTCGTGATGCAGGTGGATCATTCCAAATTCTCCCACTCTCCTAATTTCAACTTCCTTCTCCTTGCCTTCACTTCCTTCCTCCTCCCCCCCTTTTTTTTGAATTATGCCCTCTCTCGTCCGGTTTGCCCCATTCCCTTTCTGGGGGCAGCATGCTTTGGTTCCCTTTCCTTCCCCGGCATCTTAATCTCCCTCCGGCCCCTGTTTGTCTTTCCTCTGTGTAATCCATGACTGTCAGGCAGTAGACGGGGTATGTGGATACCAGCCCACACCAGCAACAGTGCACACTCTCTCTTCCACCCGCTCTCTTCCTGATCTCTGAGCACAGGAGATTGACAGCTGTCAGAACAGCAGCCTTCTGAGTTTTCAAAACACTGTTATGAAACACTGCTGCTCCCACCACCACCACCACCGCCACCACCACAGGACACTTACTTCTCTTTACAGGGAACAAATGTGTTGTCCTTGCTTTTGCAATAACCAAATTTATTTCCTTTCTTATTCATCTTGTAGCAGATACTGTGGCTCTCTTTTGCTCCTGGGATACAAAATGATAGGATGAAAGTAAAATTACAAAGGCATGAATATTAGTGAATCATGAAACTGTATTTTCTAATGCAACTGCACTTTCTGTATCATGTCCTATAGTGTCATGGTGTGGGAGAATGAAATAAATAAGTCATTCAAAAACTGTTCTACTGAGTCAGGAGAATATTCTAGGAAGAGGACAGAGATACAAACAGTGACAAACGTGCACCAGCTCAATACTGAGCAGGTCCATTAATACTGGAGGTAAGGTCAGCTAATAATGGAGGTAATAGCTAAAGAGATGCTAGGTGGTATTATCTCCAATCTTGCCCCCAAGACCTACAGGATAGTAACAGGGAGGTGACAAGGCTGTTCTCCTTGTCAGCCTTCACCGTGACCATCTCTTACCATCACTGAACAATTCCAAGCACTGATTGTTGCGAGTGGGACATTCCCCCATGAAGCAGTAGCCTTCGGAATTCTTGCAAGGAAAACCATTGACTTGGAATTGGTCCTTCGGACACTCGGGTGAGTGGCCAGTACATACTTCTGGGTAATCACATTCATCTTTTGCCGGTCTGCATGTGGACCCCGCCTTTTTTAGCTGTTGAAGAAAAACAGAGACTCTCATGTGCAAAAATGCCTTTAAGCGTGGAACCTAACTTCCCTCTTCATCTCACAGAGCATTATTGTAATTTATAAAGGCCTCGATTTTTATGTAATTTTAAGCATCACATTATAGTGATTTTGAAATCTGATGTTAGACTCCCCCTGGGTACAGTTGGAATGGACATAAAATAGAGAAACTGGCAGGAGTTCTCTTGTCATTTCTTCCTCTCTTGCTCCAGTAGACCAACTCAGACCCCTGCATAGGAATTGAAATAGTCTGGCTCTTGCAGCTGGAGGACAGCACATCCCGATTCTCTCATTCAGCTGTTCAATCTGCATTTATTTGCGCTGATTCTGAAGCCCCTTGCAGGTGGGAGAAAGGCAATTTTCTTTTCATTGTGACAAATTTCTTTTCAATGGAGTTGAAAATTGTCAATAAATCCTTAGGCAGAACCATGTGGATCTCTGGTCCTCTTCCCTAAGACTTTTTCTAACCACTAGCCACTACTGCTTTGCAATCCAAGGATAATCCCTTCCTTTTATAGTTCCCTGCTGTTGGAATACCAGTTTCCCTCCCAGCTGAGGTTAAAGAGCTTGACAATGATTTACAGAGGAGTAAGAACAGGGTTGGGCAGGTGATTTCACTCCTAAAACACCCGTGTCTGCTTACTCGCTTGTCCCTTCCCAGACCCTAGCACTCCAAGATGCTCCCACGTCTGGGCCTTCCTGAACAAGCCCTGGGGGGAATTAGCAAGGCCCAGTCTACAAACAGGTGATGGGGACAGTCATTCCTGGCTGGAGAGCTCTTTGGTCCTACATAGACTTAAAGTGAAAACAGAAACAAACACTGTCTCTCCCGGCACAGGCTTTTACCTGACAGGATTCACAGCAGGGTCCTTCTGAACACGTGAATCCTGACTTCAGTGTACACTTGTGTGCGTCACAGCAAGGATTAGTGCACTCCTGGCAAAAACCAAAGTGAAATGTCAGAGGCTGGTTGTGATCCGGTTCCTGGGTGAAAAGAGCATTGGTTGTGCTTCTGTGTGACTCTGTGTGCACCGCCCAGATGTGTCATCCTTAGTCACGTGTGGCACATGAAGAAAGGTTTGGAGCTGCTGCTTGGACTTCATCACACCTCCTTTCCTCCTAGCTGTTATGAACTCTCAGAGTCCCAAGTCTGAGACCTGCCATTCTCCCAGGGACCCTCTTCCTCAAAGGGCCCTATCATTGCCTTATGCTAGAGTTTGATGTGAGTAGTATAATTTCTAAAGCTCTGATCTTACCTTTTTCTCAAGATGCCAAGTATTTCAGTTCACGCTGACCTACCTTCCTTCCTTCCTTTCTTCCTTCCTTCCTTTCTTTTTTTTTTTTTAACACATCACTATGTAACAACAGCAGGATGATCACCTGGACCCTGTCTGATCAGACCAAATGCAAAGGAAATTGTCTGCATCTAATCAGGTGAAGTGCTTCATGTGTAGGGTGAAGCTGAAGACCCATCCAAAGAATGTGCATGGGCAAGAGGATCCGTTTCCAAAATTAAGAGCCTCTTCACCTTTAATGTGAGCCATTATAAGATTAGTTCATGTCTCTAGACAGGTCACCATCTCCACTCTGATTAAGGGGTCTGTTGCTGTGGTTCTTGAGCATAGACAGCGTAAAAGTAGTCCTCAGTCCAGCTCAAGGGCAGAAGCTTGCAGCTCAGTAAGTTTGCAGAGCTCAGCCCCTCTGCAGACCTGCTAAACCAGACTCCACACCTTAACAACACCCCGAAGTGGTTTATATGCACTTGATAATTTGAGTCTAGGACAAGCACTTATTAGATGTGCTTCTGAAGAAAATAGTTTCTATTTTATCTATCTTGGGAAAAAGCAGATTAAGAATTACTTTAAAATTTGCTCAAAGGCTTTTTCTAAATGCTCCAGACTGAAATAAACATGAAAGGTTTGAAGTTTTCTGCTCTATTAAGAAAGTGTCCTAATAAGGGGAGCTGTCCAGCTGTGATACAGATGAACCTCCCAAGGCCCTGAATAAAACCCGATTGACTCTGTGAGATCTTGTAGGACTTTATGTCCTACTGTGCATGCGAGGTCAGACCTGATGATACACCTTCAGGTCCTTCTCACAGACAAGCCAATTAACACATAAAGCAGACAAGTGTAATGCTGTGTACTCCAGCAAGACCACTATGCACGATGCATGATCTGCCAAGTACCCTTGAGATGAGACGCCCCAACATCTTGTATCCAAATGAAAAATGGAAAAGGCAGAGTCCAGAGCTGGACAAGGAAGATGATGGTTGATGTGATTGGGCTACACCCCTATCTAGATTCTAGCTGAGCATAAACTTGGTAATTTCAGGTCATCATCAATTGCCAATTACCTCAAAAGGGCCACAATCACACTCTTCTCCCTCATCCACCTTCTTGTTTCCACAAGCTGGAAAATCATTTGACGGGCCAGGAAATGGAATATTGAGCATGCACGTTGGGTTATGATCCTTCAGGAATTGCTGATACTCGTTCTGGTTGCATTTACTGAATTTTAGTGCAGGAATGCTAGAAATAGGGTAGGGTAAAAATAAAGATTTGTCATATCATTGTGGCACAGCACCTGTGAAAGTTTTACGGAGAATTTAGAACAAATACATATAAATGTTAAGTTTGAGAGCAGAGCAGGAATTGGGATCATTATTACCAAAAATGCTTTCTTGAAGCATTGCTAACACATGTTATTTCAAGAAAGTACTTGGCTATATATTCCCTCCAAAGCAAATCCTACCTGAAGCTACCGTTTGGACTGGTTGTATGTGATGCTCCCATAGTCCCTCTAATGTGTCCTTGAAACAATCTTATAATAACTGTATATTCATGTTAACATCCCTGAAAGACTAGAAACTTCTCAAGGCTACATCACATTCATTAAAAAGAAAATAACCACTAGTTAATACAGAGCCTGGTGCAGAGTAGTTTCCTCTAAATGTTTGTTGAAACAAACTATTTAAAAATATCATACACATCCTTTGGAGTCTAACACACTCTCTTCAAAACTGAAATTCACCTCCATTCTATCTTCCTTTTTTCTGATTTCCTTGACAGTAATATTGACACAATGATTGAACACAGAAGGATTTCTAGAATCTTGATTACATGAGACGGGGATGTGAGGACCCTGCAAATATTGCTAAATGTCCAGATAATTATGTAAAATTAGATGCTCAGTTACTGAATTCTTGCACCATGCCTGCCACTGTGCTTGGGTGCTTTAGCCATTTCACATCATTTAACCAATGCATGGAGTGGCTGGTCATTTTAATGCTTTTTTATTGAACACCGTGCATTACTATGAAGGGGCTCTAGAACACCTAACCACAAAGTGATTCAAGAATAATGAGGGGACGCTGGACATTCTTTCTGTGACTATTTAAGGTGATCTTAACATGTGTGTGGGACTTCTCCAGACAACAGTAATGAAACAATGACCAAACCAGTCAAAACCTCTGACTTCACAGAGTTTGGATTTAGTTCAGGAGTAACCTAGAAAATGAGCTAAATATGCAAGGGGTAGAATGCCTTAGACAGTGGTAAGTACCAAGGAAAAAACTAAATAAAACAATAAGGAAGAGGGTGTAAATGCAAGACCATGAAAGTGATGGAGAAGGACTAAAAGTTGAAGCAGATGGCCAGGAAGGGCTTTTCTGCGAATGACACCTGAGGAAAGATGTAAAGGAGGAAACTCTAGTTTTTAGCAGGGAAAGCAAACCAAGGTGTGTGGAACTATTTCTCCACTAAGACCTTGGTAGAGATTGGTACTAGTTGACCATGACATATGTTTGCAATGTGCAATAAAATGTCACATTTTTTTTTCTGGTGTATCACTAGAAAGAGTCTCAGTTGATTAGATTTAACTCCAAAAGGGAAATTCTTCCCTGTGCATGATTTTGAAAGATCTCCCAGAAAATTACACCAAAAAGCATATATATATATATTCCTAAAGTGATGGAATTAACCCCAAACTACTCTCAAAATATTTAAATGTGTTCTCTACATTATTTGAGCCTCACCTTCCACTAGTATCCATCACACATTTTCCCAAGGAACAGGTGCACGGGAACTCATCATGTTGCAAGCCAAGGTTATGCCCCAACTGATGGGCTATTCTGCTGGCAATTGTGTTTATGTCAGGTAAGAGATCCTGATGGGGGGGAAAAAAAACGTTCATTAGAAATTTCCAACAGAAAGCACCCTGAATAGTACGTAGCACTTTGAAATGGTTGTTGGAAAAACCTGATTTCTAGCTACTAGTTAATGAGCATGTCTTTGAGAGATCTTGGACTTAATTACTTCCCTCCCCTCTGCCCCAGTTTCTTTAATTATATGAAAAAAAAAGTTGGGAAAATGAGTTTTTAAGTATCTCTAGCTCTAAATTTTGGCATTCTTTTTTTTAATATGTGTGTGTGTGTGGGGGGGAGGCACAGTAATATTCACTAATGGATTTACACGCCGCTATTCTGACAAAGAGCTAGAAACTATTGACTCATATCATTATGGCCTAATGCTTGTGTCCCTCCAAAATCCATACTTTAAAAAGACCGCACCCCAGAGGCTGGAGGCGACTAGGTCTTGCAGCAGAGTCCTCGGGAATGAGATCAGTGCCCTTATAAAAGAGGCTCAGGAGAGTCCTCTTGTCCTTTCCACCATGTGACAACACAGAGAGAAAGTGCCAATTCTGAGGCAGAAAGTGGACCCTCCCTGGATACCATATCTGCTGGTGCCTTGATCTTGGGTGTCTCATCTTCCAGAAACGTGAGAAATACATTTCCATGTTTATTAGCCAGCCTGTTTGTGGGGTTTGCCATCTCCAGCAGCCTGTATGGACTACGACAAGTGTCCTATACAATAAGCTAAATGTTACTGCTCATCTGCTCTATACCAGATTTTTAAAAAGGATACAAATAAAAACAAATGTGATGTTCTTGCTTTTAATTGGTAGTCTTTCATTGTTCAATAACTGCTATGCAACATTGCAGATGGAGATTGTGTTACAAGGAAAACCTGAAGGTCAGAAATAGACTCCACGTGGCAGAACTGTCCGTCACCGAGGCTCATAGTTCTAGTTCATGTTTTAATCCCTGTATTAGTGAAAAAATTATCTTTCCAAGAGAGCTAGGCTATTATTTTATGATAAAGCTAATGGAGCACCTTAAATTTGCTCATTTTATTCATATGGAATTTTAAATGTTCCCGGATTTGTAAAAATGTAGTTGAAAGAGTAACATTCTCCGTCAGAGCCTCATGTAATACTCACAGGAATGAAATACCAAAGGCAAATCTACAGGCATCACAATTAATATGTAGTTACGAATTACAATATAAATCCATTATATAGTCTTTTTAATAAGTACTAGCTTCAAAGTTTGAGGTCTAAAGACCATCATGGGCACAGCAATAAGGAGGTAAAGGAATGCAGGAAATAAAATAAAACCTCATGTTTGTGATGTAATCTCTCAGAAAAAAGTCACGTGAACAGCACTAACTAGACTCTGTGAGACTTGGGAAAAGATCAGATAAATGAGGGAGACACTCTTCAGAGGTCTTGTGCCTGCTGAACATGCAAGGCAAGACTGTCATCGTATGACATTAAGTGCTCCATGTGCTTCCTTGTCATGCAGGATCAACTATCCTCACTTGCTGAATCAGCCATCCAGTTTTGTGAACGTTTCCTGTCTTTGTAAATAATGGTATTTAACATGCGGACGAGCTTTACTAATCCCTGTATGTTAACCTGCACATGATGGTCCTTTGAACTCCCAACTCCACTTCATTATTACCCTTATCATTCATTAATAGGTTTTTTTTTAATAAAACATTTCTTTTCTCATTTAATAAAGAAGTATGAGTCTCATCATGTCAAGTCTTGGTGGGAATATATGACAAATGCACACGTGGTCTCTTTCAAGGGGACACAGAACATTACAGAAATGTAATCTGAACATTTTGATTAGGTAACATAACATAGATAAAACACAGCCCACCTTCACGATACTGCAGGAATAGTAGGGCTGGCACATGCCCTCTGGATAAGAAATTCCTTGCTCGTGTGCATACAGCCACTTCCCACTGCAAACAGAAGACAAAAAAATTCTTCAATCTAAATTTGTAATTAAAACAGAGCAGATTGCACTGAACCAGCACAATGTCCAGGCCTTTACACATGAATGAGCCCTCTTATTTCTGTAGTTCTGGCATTGAGATTGACCTTAGTTGATACTGAGCTCATTTGAAGCATACGGTATATGAGAGGCATTGAAAAAGCCAATTTTAGGTTGAAATTGTTATTTTAAAAAAATAGGTTATTTTCAATAAAAAAGACAATAAGGTCAGAGTCTTTCTTGATTCTAGTCTACTGTGCATTCAGTTATGGACAAAACCACTTAAATTACAAAACATAAAAATAAATTAATGAGTTAAATTTAAAACAGTTCATGGAGAGAAATCTAATGTGGTGAACTCACGTAGCACCTTGGACAATTAGCTGTGATTGAAAAATCTTAAAACTTTCAATCAACCATGAAACTCAGAAAGGATTTGGTAGATATAATCAAACATTTAGAAGAGCAGTCATGTAAAAAGAGGTCTATTCCTAGCTGGGCACAGTGGCGCATGTCTGTAATCCCAGCAGCTTGGGAGGCTGAGGCAGGAGGATCAAGAGTTCAAAGCCAGCCTCAGCCACAGCAAGGTGCTAAGCAACTCATGGAAACCCTGTCTCTAAATAAAATACAAAATAGAAATAGGGTGGCTCAGTGGCTGAGTGTCCCTGAGTTCAATCCCTGGTTATCCCTGTCACCCCCCCCCGCAAAAAAAAAGTGTTCTATTCCTGAATTGCTTAATAAATAATGTCAGATGTGTATATTATATGAATTCTGCCTCAATTTTATTTAGGAACAGTTTTTAAAGTGGGAAAATTTTAAAGAGAGCTACCATGGGTTGGAAGACAACACTTAGATTATCACAGGATCAAATCCAAGGAATGTGGCCAGGTGAGGTGACCCCCTGGGGACTTTAATTCTTTTTGGTCAAGTAGATGCACCGTTTCTTTCTGTCCTAATGAAATGCTTCTGCACCTCCATTCCAAGTATCAGTACTTGGGCATCTTGGAGGACCTTAGAATTCTGGCCTTCCTGAACTCTGGAGATCTTGGGAGAATTCCATGAATGAGATGAAGCACCAGAGAAGGACCCTATAGAGACTGACCTCTCTCATGGTCCCTGAGAGAAAAGTGACACTGTGACAATGCCACACAGGCTGTCTGGCCACCTCTAAATCTAGGCGAAGGTAGAAGGGAAGACACACGAGAAACTCAACATGCTAAGTCCCCCTTCTACACACTTCCTGTTGATATGAGAAGCTACTGGAGAAACAAGAAATTCTGTGAAAGTAAAAGTTTACTTACTTATCACCATTTAAATATTTCTGGACTTATTTATTAATTATTTTTAAATACATGTACAAACAGGGAGCTAAGGGACTTCTCTTGCCTACTATGAAGTTTATGGTGATATTTTACTATTCTTCAACTTTCATAATTTGGGGCACAATAGTGCATGAATATTCAAGCCCAAGCCAGGCACAGCTATGCCCCTGGATCTATATGCTATAGACCATCCAAGTATGAACACCGAGCATGATATGACCTTGGAGGTCTGACTCATGCCCATCAATCTACCAAAGAACTAGACCTGACCCCTCCTTGTAGGCTCTAGAAGCTTTGTGTTTCTGAATTCAGCCTGCAAGCTAATATCTGAATAACACTAGAAAGAAGATCAGCAGGCTGTTTGCAGAACGTTAGAGAAATACTGACTTTACAGTTAGATAAAGTAAGGTAAAATGGGTACTGTTTGAACATTGTAACTGGAGGGCCATCCAAAGATATGCTGAAAGATGCCATCACTTCAAATCATTTTTCTCACAATTTAACATTTCTTAGTATATCAGCACTATGCTAAACATAAGGTTGCATTAAGTTCCATTTCATAACTCCTTATCATTTCCCTCTGGGACAAGTATCATACTAGATATTTTGAATAACAGTAATGACAAAATATTCCCATCATAAAGGGAATTTATGACTGAGTAGTCTAGAGGAATGCAAACTTCAACTTAGATATATTGAAGCTGTGGCTGGTTTAACATATCAGATTATTTGTCTGTCAATTTATATAGTACAGAAGATGGTCTTGCCGAATGGCCACTGGCTGGATGCCCGCCCTTTGATGAGAAGTGTCCAGAGACCAAGGAGTTTTCCAGAAGGGTATGTTTTGATGTAATACTGGGTTTTCAAAGCATGAGAGGGTGAGAAGGAGTTGGTGCTGGATTTTTGTAAATAATATACACAGATTCTCAAAGCAATTTGCTCACCTAATGATATTTTCAACTCTTTCCAGGAAATATATCAGATTTTTCTTCTGTAGTATTGATCAATATCAAAAATAAGGATTATTAAAGAATCTGCTTAGAAATTTTCTATATAGCAAGAAATGGTATTTTTCCCTTCATCTTACCCAAAGTCAATTAATCTAAAAGATTTCTTTGTTGATTATTTTTTCTTAAATGATCTACCTAAGGTAGGTAGGAAAAGAAGGGTCACATACCTTAGTAACAGAACATGATCAAAATTCTCCCTTTTTCTAAGGATTGTTTCTTGCCAAACGGAAAAACGCGTTAAGGTAGTTTCAATGTTTGAATCTATTTCTATTTTGTCTCCAGCTGTCCACATTTCAATGCCAGCCAACGTTACATGAATATTCAAGGTTTTATAAATCTGTTCAAAGAAGAAATCATTTTTCACATATTCAAATTGCTACAAGAATCCTTCATCAACTGTATTCCTTTATACTTTTAAAAAAAAGCAATGTAAACTTGTCAGATACCTAAGAAAATAAGACAACTCTTATTTTACAAATTGATACATTGAAACAGAATGAATATTTGATTGTTCAAGATACTGGGGAAATTTCCATTCTCAACAAGGAATCTTGACCAACAAGGTCTGATTTTCCTTGAAGTATCATAAGCCTCACAGGCACCGTTCTCCAAATGCATCTAGAAGAAGGAGGTTATTAAAGTTCTAAGGTATACATCCCCTGAAAACGTATGGTCAGTACAAGTGGCACAGGGCGGTATGAGCACTCTTTGCTTCTCTCTGTACTTTAGGCCCAGGATTGGCTCTGCAGCAGGTCTGAATGTCGGCACTGGTATTCAGAAACTTAGCTGGGACATGCTTGATCTTCATGCTTGATTTTTATAACTACCTCTTCTTTTGTCTGAGAAATCTTATTGGGGATTTCTCAAAGCATGCAGAGATAGTCTCAGACCCTGAGCCCTCACGCCCCTCTTCCAAACTGCTTTGTAAACACCTAGCTGACAGATGTCTCATGGCAGGACAAAAGTCGACACAGAGAGGCAATAATTATGGAGATTTTTCAGAAAAAGGAACATGCGTTCTATCAGCCTGATCTTCCAGGACCACCAGTTCACTCTTGAAGGAGAGAATGAGAGATGAACGAGGAACAGTAAATAAAAAACCGAAATAGAAAGGTCCCTCATGCAGTGTTACTGGAACTAGTCATTAAAACACTTCAGAGTCATATCATGACGGTGACAATAGCCCTGCAGGATTTTCTGCTTTTCTTAACCTGTAGGATATGAATACGCTGAATTTCACGTCTCCATGATGACCTATAATAACCATGAGAACCAGGCTTCTTTTAAACTCACATGAGCTTAGACATCTAGTCAGGACCTCAAATTTGACACTCGTGCCTGTGACCCCCCAATTTTCCTCTTGACTGTGGGATGAATGTTTTGACCTGGGTCCTGCAGAGGGAGAATCTTCTACTCTGAGCTTTGTGGAGGGTTTCCCTTCCCAGGGGTGCTTAATGTCATAAAACCGCATGCAAGGACAGGTGGAAAACACTTGTGCATCCTGTTGGGTGAGGACAGAACCTACACAAGAAAAGCCTGTTTTCTCTCTTAGATGTTTGGGTGGGTTTGAAATAATATCTGGAAGGTTCTAGAAAGTTGAATTTCTCTTCATGATCTAGAAAGAACCTTGGAACTTCTAAAAGAGGTGAAGGCATGGAGAAAGATAAAATGAGAGAGATCCTATGAGATAATGTAATTATCAGAAGTGAAATGGTGGAAGCTGGGCGGGGTGATGTAACCCCAGTAACCTCCTGTAACCCCAGTGGCTCAGGAGGCTGAAGCAAGAGGATCCCAAGTTCAAAGCCAGCCTCAGTAATTTAGTGAGTCCCTAAGCAACTTAGCAAGATCCTGTCACAAAATAAAAAATAAAAAGGGCTGGGGATGTGGCTCGGTGGTTAATTGCCCCTGGGTTCAATCCCCTGGTATACCCTCCCCCCACTAAAAAAAAAGAAGTGATATGATAGGAAAGCCCAAGGGCTTTTAAGACTCCTGGCTTTATTTGTAACATAATATGTGACCCCTACCCCCGCCTCATATATAAAATGTAAAACTTTAGTAAGAATTCAGCAATAATTTTGTGGTATGCTTACTTGTAAGGTCGAAAACCAAGGAGAGAATTAAAGTCTTGAATTGGGGTCAATGCCAGAGCCGTGATAATTCCTACCAATTATAAAAAGTCATGGGGAGGATTCTCAGTTGATAGCCACAGTTAAGATGTGGAAGGAGTTCTCCTGCCTGAGAAGTACAACGCCGGAAAGAATGTTGCTTCTGCCCCGAGAACTTACCAATTGTACATTTCTCTTGAAGTCATCACAGAGCTGAGGTAACAGGGCCTACAGCTAGGCTGGAATCCAGGGCAAGACAGTGTCCTTCAAGGACAGATGGCAGAATATGAGGGGAAAAGAGGCTGAGGACCTTATGGGCAGGTCAGAGTAATTCACAAGGTTTTTATGGAACTGCTAAGGTACCAGCAGGGGACAGAATATGGACACAGACACAAGGGACTCCACATCCATGAACAGACTCCCCACAGGCCTCCTCTGGGTGGTCACAGGAGTCACACTCATACACTGCTGATGGGACTGCAAATTGGGGCAACCAATCTGCAAAGCAGCATGGAGATTCCTTAGGAAACTTGGAATGGAGTCACCATTTGACCCAGCTATCCCACTCCTTGGCCTATACCCAAAGAACTTGAAATCAGCATACTACAGGGACACAGCCACATCAATGTTTATAGCAGCTCAATTCACAATAGCTAAACTATAGAACCAACCTAGATGCCCTTCGATAGATGAATGGATCAAGAAACTGTGGTATAGATACACAATGGAATATTAATCATCATTAAAAGAGGATAAAATTATGGCAGTTACAGGTAAATGGATGGGGTTGGAGAATATCATGCAAAGTGAAGTAAGCCAATCCCCACAAACCAAAGGCTGAATGTTCTCTCTGATAAGTGGATGCTGATTCAGAATGGGGGGGACATGGGAAAAAATTGAGGAACTTTGATGGGGCAAAGAGGAGGAGGAGTTGGGGAGGGGCCATGGGGGCAGGAAAGATGGTGCAATGAGATGGACATCAGTAGCCTAGGTACATGTGTGACTGCACATACGATGCCATGCTACATCATGTACAACCGGAGAAATGAAAAGTTGTGCTGCAATCGTGTACAATGAGCCAAAATACATTCTGCTGTTACATGTACCTAATTAAAATTGATTAATCAGTTAATTTAAAAATATTTTTAAAAAGAGAGAGGGCCAGGAGGGAGAATGGAGACACCCTCAGAGGAAGAGGCCTGATGGGTACCAGCAGCTGCTACTTTACAAAATTTAACCAAATCTATCAGACTCTTTCTCCCAAGGAGCAAAAGCCTTAAGCTTCAAGGGAACCATAGCAATTTTTTTTTTTTTATGCCTAGAACGAAGGACGAAGGCTGATGTGACTGAAGAAAGGGTAAATAGAAAAACCTTCTGCCCCTGGAGGAGAGCAGGAAATGTCCTGAGCCCAGCTGAGTCTCCCGTCTGTGAGGAGGAGAATGGTCATTAGAACTGCCCACCCAGTGACCCTGGCACAGTGCTTTTCTAAGGGTGAAGACAGAACAGGATAAGGGAATGCTCTGAGGCCACAGCCAGGCTTGCAGCATCAAGTATCCGTCAAGAGATCACCACTGAAGAACAGAAGGGAGCCTGAGGAGGGATCTGGGTACTGGCCACCAATGTGCAAAGTGAACTTGGAGCAAGAACATGGACCAACACCTTCCAACAACCCCGGCCCCAGGCTAAGCACGAGGTGAGCCAGTGGGATTTGAAATGTTGGTGCACTGCAATTAAGAGTAGCAACAAAAGGATTTCTAACAAGATGGATTCCACTGAACAGTGAAGGACCTAGTGAAGAAGAAGTGCATCATGAATAGGTGTAAAGACCATTTCCTTATTTTTACCCATCTTCACATAGTGCCCACTATCCAATGGAACACTGAAGAAAACACCAGAAGGTGAGGAAATCCCACCCCTGTTCAAGAGCAAAGAGTTGACAGAACTGGACGCACAGATGACCTGCGTATTGAAATGGACAGGAATTTAAATTTATCACCAGGAATATGTAAAGGATCTAGTGGAAAAGATGGGAGTGGTGTCAGAATCTTAAGAGGGCCCCAAGGACTCCTGTCTTCTGATACAAACACCCCAGTACCTTCAATGTCAATGGGACTGTGAATGTTTCACTACTATCATCAGGCTATAACATGACAAAGGTAAAAGGATTTTGCAGATGTAGTTTGAATTCCCAAATCAGGGCAATTAAACCAAAGAGGGTTTCTGTGGGTGTACCTGACTTAATCCTTTATAAAAGACCACCAAATTCCCTCACTGGCTTAAAGAAGCTGCCACACTGTGAAAGGGTCCATGGAAGCACTGGGCAGCAAGGAATGACCAGGAACTCTAGAAACAAGTACAGCCAAGGTGACACTTGCATGAGATGTGGAGACTTCAGTTCTACAACTGAGCAAGTTAAACTCCACCAACAAGATACGTGAACTGAACCCCCATTCCCCACCCTGATTTGAGCATTATGAGATGTGAGCAGAGAACCAAGTTATGTTGTACCTAGACTGGCCTAAAATAAAGTAAGAAATGGATGTTGTTTTATGATGCTAAATTTGTAGTAATTTTTTATTATTTGTTATTCAGAAATTTTAAAAAAAAGTGAAAAACATTCTTGAACAGATTTTAATTTCAGCACAGAGGAGGAAATTATAAGAAAGAATGAACAGAAATGATAGAAAAATTATAGTCGTGAAGATAAAGAATACCTTTGATAAGCACTTGAAAAGGCAAGACACAATTAAGGAAAGAATTCTATTGACTCTATAGAAATGACCCAAACTGAAAGACAAGAAGTGAAACAAACAGAAGAGAAAAATCACAGGTTCTAATATATGAATAACTGAAATACGAGAAGAAGAAGAGAGAGAGAATAAAGCAGAAGTATTTGAAGAGAACATGGTCAAGAACTTTCAAAAATAATAGGAAACCCTGAGTCATAGATCCAAGAAGCTCAGAGAACTCAAGCAGTATACAAACAGTATAAACTAACACATTCCCCCATCTCTCTCCCTCTCTCTCTCTCTCTCTCTCTCCCTCTCTCTCTCTCTCTCTCTCTCTCTCTCTCATACACACACACACACACACACACACACACTCACTCACACACTTTGATAGTGCCATGCCAAAGGGACACACAGATCAACTAGCGTATTGCCGCGTGGCCCTTATTGATATTCAACAACAATTGAAGAAATAACTTCATGGGTTGAAAGAGAATACCTCTTGTGTGGAATTCCCAGTAATTGATGTAGATTCTCTACTCTGAAGGAAAGGAAGCATGACTCCTCTCTCCGGAAGTGTGAACTGTGCATGGTAACTTTCTTCCAGAGACAAGAGTGTGGTGGTGAGAAATGAGAGAACTTGACAAACACTGTCAATCAACTTGACATAACTAGTGTTTATAGAGAACTCTAACCACCAATGGCAGAATATTTTTTTCAAGTACTCTTGAACATTAACTATGCTAGACCCAATGTTATGGTTTAGATCTGGAATGTTCCCCCAAAATCTTATGCTGAAGACGTTGTCCCCAGTGCAGCAATGTCCAGAGGCAGGACTCTGGGAAGGATTTGGATCATGAAGATTCTGACTTCATCAGTAGATTAATACATTTAATCAGTGGGTTAATCCATTCTGATGAAGCCATCAAGTGGATTATTTCATTGATAGCTGAACGGACTCTACTGGGGGATGCAACCTAGTTGGAAGTGGTAGGTAGGTCTCTGGGGATGAACCCTCAAAGTCCTTGGCCCCTTGTGAGTACTTTCTCTTAATTTTTTTCTCTCTCTCCTTCTTGCTACCATGAGCTGAGCAGCTGTCCTAGACTATACTCTTCTGCCATGATGTTCTACCTCACCTCAGGCCCCCCAACATGGAGCCAGCTGAGAGAGAATAAAGCAGAAGTATTTGAAGAGAACTTTCAAAAATAATAGGAAACACTGAATCATAGATCCAAGAAGCTCAGAGAATTCAAGCAGTATTCAAGCAGTATAAACTTGAATCCTGAGCCAAATAAATCTTTCCTTCTCTAAGTTATTCTTTTCAGGTATTTTGGTCAGAGTGGTAAAAAAAATATCTGACTAACACAATCAGATTCTGGGTCAAGAAGAAACAAACAACTCAACAAATGTAAAATAATTGAAATTGACCAAATAGTCTCTAATTCTAATGGAATGAAAATTAGAAATCAGTAACAAATACCATAAACATCCCCAAATATTGGCAAATGAAGCAACTTCCTAGCTATAAGCACTGAAACAAAAAGAATCCATAAAGAACATCAAACATTTTCAACTGAATGAAAATTAAAAATAAAATATAAATCCATGGGAAACAATTAAGGAAGCATTCACATGACATATAATCCAGCATTCCCACCTCTTAGTTATCTGCATAAAATAAATGAAGTTCTATGTTCACCTACACTGATGCATTCAAATGTTTGCAGCAGTTGTTTTCATAGCAGTCAAAAACTATGACTAAGTTAAGGTTTCCTCAACTGTTGAATAAACAGCCACTAGCTATTCCTTCCAGCATCTTCCCATAGTTCCTCTCTATCCTAGTAATAGGGCTGGGGTGTCTGAGGAGGCAGCAATGAGAGATGTATAAAATTCACAATTTGTTTAAGAGTTATAATTCATTAAAATCTACCAAAAGCAGTCATCTTAATATATTTTATTGAAATAGTTACCCTAATTTCTGTGCCAAACCTTGGGCAATAAGTTTTAGCTTGAAGAGACATTTTTTCATACAAGGTCATACAACACGTGAGACTCAGTTTATATGTGATTGGCTTTCAAACTTTTTGTATATTGCTTCATCAATTTTGTTAGAGATAAATATTAAAACTTATTTGAATATTAAATGTTATTGATGTAGAAAACCAAAAACTCAGAGCTGTCATTGGTTGCTACAATTTTTTCAATAGATTTTTGTCAGTCATTTTACTTGATGAATTTTTGTGATGTGGACTCCCACTGTATCAAGGTTACTATAAGAATCCAATGGAGACAGACCCCAGAATGTTCTTTGTATGTTCAGTTTGACTCAAACTACAGCAAAACTTACCATGTTGACAAAATTGACCATGCCCCAAATTCGGTTCCTTAGTTTATAGTGAGGTTGACCATTCCTACGATACTGGAAATAAAAACATCATATCAACATGCTTTCATAGTAGGAGCTTCATAAAAGCTAAATAAAAGTGCTTCATCCATCATGAGCTGTTATAAAGAAAAAAAATCTTAAGTTTTCTTTTTTTGCTTAAATAGTGTGCAAATCCCTCTCTTTGTTCTAGTTAATATTTAAGTGTTTATTTTGTTATAGTTTCCCCCTCATATTCACTATTCTGTATTTTTTCTACATTGTTAACTAGTTATTTAGCCCTATTTATTTCTGGAACATTTTCAAGAATTGCCTCTCAAAGAGTGTCTGTCATCCAGAAACCCACATTCAGTCTCTGAAATCTTTTATTATGCATTAATGTCTCCTATTTTCTCATAGTTTTCAACTGTACTTATCTGTGCTCAATAAGTGGTTGTTTCCCTGTCACCTCCATCCTCCAGTGTGCTGATTCTCTCTTCACCTGTGTCTAATCTTCTGTTTCATTCATTCAAGGATATATGCATTTTCCTTTTATCAATGTGGAATACTTTTGCAAGGAAGCTGGCCATTTTTTACCATCTCATCTAATTCTTGTTTTGTAATTTCTATTCTATTCACTTTCTTTATTCTCTGATAACTGTAAACCTATACTTTCGTGATGAAGAATGATTTGAAGATATCACTGGATAACTGATAGTTCTTGGTAGTCTTAGTCTCCTCTTCACTATGCTGGCTGACCCTTCCTCATGGGATTCATTTCATCTTGGATTATTAAAGTGTCTTTATAGGACATTTTTTACTTCAGCTCAAGTTGTTTACCAGATAGATATCTAGTTAGTTTTTATGCTGAAAGCTTTGTGTGGTATGTCTGCAGCTGAAGAAAAACAAAACAAAACAAAATCACCAACTACCATGCTCCCTCTCTGTGCATGGTGCAGGCTTAGAATTTCTGGTTTCTCTTGGGTGATATTTTCCCTTCCCATGCCTATGGGCAAATCAGACTTCCTTTATCTTTTACGGTTTCAGTGGAGCTTTTTCTTTTTCAGGGATGGGGCAGCCCTTTCTAGCTCTGAGAATTATGTGGAGGATTCTTTTCCAAAGGCCAGGCTTTTGCTTGTAAGGAGGTTAATTCCTCACTCATTACAACTGTATTCTCTATGTCACGGGTCATCAAGGCTTTGGGTTTGACTTCCTTTTCTGATGGAGATTTTCTTCTTAATTTTTATTATCTGGAAATGTTCAATGTTTTCTTTTGAGATCAACAACAGAGTGTTGCCAAGTCTGCGACTTTTCATATGCTGCTCAGCATCTCCATATGTTCACAGTGGGGAGGAGGGTTCTAGTTTGGATTAGTCCCCTGCAATATCAAAAGACCTAAACCATCTCTTATATGCATGTTATTTTGAAGAAGTTAAAAACAGAAGTTTGAGACCGGAATAGCACTCTGATTAGAGCACCACTACTCTGGGCTCCATCACATCCGCGGTTTCATGGGGATGAATGAAAAGCGAAAACGTTCCTCTGGAAACTTACCACGAAATCATCAGCCACAACGAACAGCTCCATATACTTTTGTTCATGGACGCTCTGGAAATTGATGAACAATTCAATGAAGTATGCTAACATTTTTAACCTTAACAGTGAATTTCTGAAAAGCTGACATTTTTAAGATAAGAAAATTAATCTTGCTGACACTGGAAGGTGAATTAAATGAGTATATCTAATAATCCTGAAGCAACATTCCATATTTGACTACCCTTTGTTTAGTCTTTAAGGTTAGACAAGAGTTATAATATAATCATGAATCCCATGTTTAATACTTAAGGTTCCTTCTCTTTTTCTTTCATGTACAGATTAAATGGTTCATAAGCAAGTTCATGTAGGAAGCACCCATGAATGTATATATATAGTGAGAGCTCCAATCAGACTGAATGACAGAACTGACCATGTCCCTCCTAATTTTTTCCTGCCTCCCAAACTCCTAATTGGCAGTGGTCTCAATTCCAAGGAAACAGATGAATATTGCTAAATCTAGGTCTCTTATTTCTAGAAAACACCAATACCAGGAAGTTCTTCTATGATTTCAGCATAAATGAGGAGTGGGCATGTTCTCTGAGGACAAATGAAAGGGACTTGTTTAGAGATTTAAGTCAGTCATTCTTTCATGAGCTAAGGAATTGTCTCTTCCCTGAGTGATTCTATCAGGAGACTCTTGTTAGTCATCCAGTAAGTTTCAGACACTGGACCTTGGACCTGAGAAGATGATAAACAAACATGGAGCTTTCAAGTTCATAT